GCTGAGTAAGGCAGCCAGGCAGCACTTGGACCCATCTCCATTGTGTCCTAATGGATATGGGTGCTCAGTGCACCTTATTGCCCTTGTGTAGCAGTGATAAATGCAGAGGAACCCAGAGAAAGTGGGGAAGACACATGTCTACCTCTAACGAAAGCAGCCTCAGTTTGAATAGACAAGATTGGTAGCCCCTACCTGTAGCCACTGCCCCTACTGCCCTGCCCTTCTTGACCACTGCAGATGGACAGATGAGGCAGGAAGGCATTAGGCTTTTGGTACGGGCAGTGTGCTTTGTACTGGAAGGAACCAGCTACAGGACTCTTACTGACCCCAGCAATGCTGCAGGCACTCAGACCCATATGCTCTTCCCCTAGCAATGTGAATAATTTGCTGAAAGAGGTACCGAACTGATTAAGGGGACACTGGTGAGATTTAAAAAGTAATTAGCAACTCATTCCCCAGAAAAACAAGAGGCGAGAGATTCAAAACACATTTATCTTACAACAGCCTTGTTCAGCCTGTCCAGAAGCGTACCTGCAGTTAACAGCAGATGTCAGAGCTTTGAATGATGCAGCTGCTGCATTAACAGCTGGAATTCCAGGTGTGCTACAGCTCTTGAATGAGCCAGAAGCCAAAAAATATAGCTGGTATGTTACAACTGGTGTTGTAAATACATTCTTTTCAATCTTTCTCGCTGAAGAAGCAGACCCCAATTGCTTTCACCTGGAATAGTGTACAATACGTCTGGAACTGGTTGTTGCAAAGGGTGGAAACATAGCCCCACCATCTGCCATGGTGTCACCCACAAAACTTTAAGGTAATGTCTCTAGAGAATTTTTCCACTGTATTGATGACATTGATTAAAAGAAAAGCTCTCAAAAACAATACTAACTAACGGGCACCATATTTTCCCAACTTGAACTGATTAGTCCGAAGCCAGCAAATCAACAACATGAAAAAGGCTGAACTCTTCTGGCTATAAAATGCCCCAGCACATGACAAGTTACATGCTGAAGAGGCTGCCATGAGTTTGCAGAAGTAATGGCCTTTGGAGTCCCCTTAGAACATGCTCAGGAACACCACTGGCTCTGAGAATACATATGCACAGACCCCTAAGTGATCACTAATGCAGTGGAGAAATTACTCAAGATTGAAATCATGATAATCATCATCAGTGAGGAAAACTACTGTCTGTGTCAGAAGAATGGAAAAGTTCTACAACCTGAGACTGTTTTGCTCATAACATTCTCTCAAAACACTTTTACTAGATTCCAAAGAGTCAGTTCCTGTGCTGGAGCATGAAAAAGCAGTTTAGCTAGAAGAAAGAGGAACGCCCCTGGCAAGATGATCTTAACCAATGACTCCTATTATTATTGCATTTTACCAACACAGCTGTCACCTGATGAAAGGTGATACGAATGAGAAGTTCAAGACAGTAAGAGTTAAAGCAGAGTCCTTTCTCAAGCGCAGGCAAACCCATCACATGCACATCAGGAAAATATTGAAATTGGTCTTGGCTGCATTGCAGTAGGTTGAGTCACACTTAACTCTTGCCAAGTTAAATCACTGTAACTATGGAAAGCTTAAGGATTGTTGCAGTGACATCATTTTGATTTAGCAGTGCAGTGGCCATTTTATTCAAATAACACCACATTAAAAAAAAAAGGCCTCAAGCTTTTCAAATTAGAGAAAATAGAAAGATGGAGAAACACATGCTGCACTTTTAATGTTCATACTGCCGTGTATCCAGTCCAGCACTGCTACTGAAATTGTTCAACTGAAAGTTTTGTGGCAGCTTGTTAGTTTGTTTTTGGGTTTTTTTTGAATCAGATTTAAAAAGCAAACAACTCCAGAGCCCAAAAAGCAGAGCTCACTCTCCAGGAGTCCCTGCAGCACCTCCCTGCCCTAGCTGAAAGCTCCATCTAGATTACAGACAGGATCATGTCACCATCTTTCATCGAACTGGTCATTTCTCTCAACACTGACTTGGCTCAACAAGAAGTCAGGAGCACAAGCGTTCCCTTTCCTTTCCTCAGAGCCTTCTAATTACAATCACCTTACAAAGAAGGGATCTCCACCTGCAAATCACCCTAGGCTACTGATCTTACAACATAGATACCTCAGTTTCCAGCATGTACTTTGCTCACATACGGGTGTTCACTACCATAACTGTTCCTCTGACAATTGCGTTTCTAATCAACGAGCTCTACTGAATTCTTGCAACAGATAATTAAACCATATATCCCCCTGTCCAAACTCTATATCCTCAGTAAAATAGCTTTTCATGCCTTGATCTTTCTGCAGCAGATAAGAGAGACTTTTCAGCCTTGTGTCTGCATGCAGCAGTTTTTTGCTGCTCATCGTATGCAGAATAACACAGAATCATTTAGGTTGGTTTAGATCTCTGAGAACATTGAGTCCATGTATGGAGTATCATGTATGGATTTTTTTGTTTAATTCTTCTTCTGCTGTAGTCTTCATACACATCGTACAGAAGTCATGCTGTCTAATACTTTTCTTTTGTTGTATTTTGAAAACCAGAATTACTGGTCAAATTAGATGCTGGGCTAACCTGGTAGTTTTGCAGGTATAAGAACACTGAACCAGTCTCACTCCTCACAATCAGCCAAAGCAGGAAGCTTCCTGCTCTCTCCTCCTCTATTCCCACCTCATTTCCACTCTCCCATGCTTGGCCCTGCCACTCCCTTCTGCTGGCATCAATACCCATCAAACACTCCGAAGAGCAAACTCAATGCACCAGATTAGTCATCTGCTGACTTATCAAACTGAATCATCTCAGTGCAAGCCCAGATGGGCACCAGACCAAACACAGGAGGAAGCAGAAAGATCCCACTCCTTAGCACGGGCAAGCTGTCAGACTATCCATAGAAACCAGTGTATAAAAACTCATATTCGACCTTCCTCTGGATACAGCCTCAATGGTATCTGAATTCCAGCTTTGCCAGACTCGCAGAGTTCATACTTGGCAAATGAGACAACACCTGAATACCAGTTTTGAGGTTAAAACCGTGAGCTCTTCCTCTAAGCAAGCTCAAATAATGAAGTTCACCCTTGCTTAATAATACATTCAAATTCTCATGATATGTTGAATACTGATTTAACACTAACAGCTTTCACATGCCTAAAATGGATGATCCATAAGAAGTTATCAGTCTGGAGTAGATTCACCTAATTGAATCATGAAAGCAGGCAGTCACAGTGAAACCAGTCATCTCCACACAGTCACACAACTGCTGAACTGCTTATAAAGACAGATCCTTAACTTTTTACAGCAGTTCTGCACAGTCAGACTACAGCCAGCTTACTGACAGTGAAATTAAGTTTTTCAAAAGTATGTCATTCAGGTTCTGTCTTTATTGTCATTTAAGACTGCACCACCACAGATCTGAAATTCCCCTGGAGGGCCCCACCCTCCTCAAGCTGACATTCTCACCAGTTCTCAAATTCTTACATATTTTTAAGGAAAAGTGTCCAAACTAATTATAACTGATCTACTCAGTTCATATTATTGGCATTAACGAGTACCCATATAAATTAACCAGCTTTGTAAAAACAATCTGTTTAAAATATAGTATCTTTTTTCACAGAATTCAAAACAAAACTCCTAAAGGCAGTTTTTGTGCACCTTCCCTCTAGTGAAGCAGAAACCAGACAGGCTCTTTTCATCTCCACACTTCTTGACAAAAGTTTAGAAAGACTATTTCTGAGTGACCTCAAATACTTCCACATGTTAAGAGCATCACAGCAAAGATTTTGCTGTCTGTGACTCTGAGCAGTGCTTGCAGATGCAAAGGAGAGAGTTTTCCACACAAGTAGTAAGATGATAAATGTTAGCAGTCTGAATGATCTGTTAGTTTTAAAGGTGGTTACAGTAAAATTGTACTATTATTGCAAGAGCTCAGCTTTGCTAACCTAGGATTCAAGACCACAATAGGGCCACAGCAGAACTGAATTCAAGGCAGGCTTGATGCCAAACTGCTTATCTGGCATCTGCATGCATTATCTACAGCTTCCAGGCAAAGTTAGGAATAGGTATTTTTCTTTCTCCTTTAAAATGATGAGATAGATATCTAAGATTTGAAGTCTTGCTTTTACAACATACCCAAAAGAAAATACCTAGGCATAGCACCAAGTATGCTTATTAACATAGTAAAAGAAGAAAGAAATGTCTTAGAAAAAAGTTATATAAATGGAAAATGACAGTTTGCACTGCATATTCCAGTTTAGCAGTTTTCCTTCTGAAAAAAACTTGGTATTAGAGACTTAGCTATTTTTCTCCTCCCCCTCCCTCAGCCCAATGTTTCCTTTTACCAAACACCAGCGCGCTATTACATACACACTTTTTTGATCAGCGTTCAAAGAAATCGTCCCTGACACACACCGAAGCAACGAGAAGCTTAGCAAAAAATACACCAGTGTGTTTTACCCTGAGGTTTTGCCATACTAATTTTTTTAAAGAGTATCGGGTGACGGCAGATTTTCTGGTGAGTAACTCTCCGATGCCCTAGGACCGCCGTAACTCCGCTTTCTTTCCTAAAATGGAAGCCGCGCTCCAGCCGAGCTTTCCGCAGCTCTGAAACCCCCTCCCAGCCTCCTTCGAGGACCCCCCTGCACCCAAGGGCCGTACTGGGGTAAGTAACACGCGTTCACCGAAGATAAAACACCAGGCAGGGTTCCCAGTGCGGAGGGCGGGCGGAAAGTTCAGGCATACTTTTCCAGTTAGTTAAAGGGGGAAGAAAAAAAAAAGGCTGGAGGAAGAGAGCTCCGCTTCCCTGCCCCGGACAGACACGGGCAGCCGGGGACCTGCCCGGCTCTCTCCCGTCCTTTCTTGTCCCGGGACCGCTCCGATCCCCACCCAGCCCCGACTCCATGCGGAGCCGCAGCGCTCGGCCCCGGCCCGGGGACGGAGGGCAGGGGAGCGCTCACTCCCTCTCTCCCCAGTCCATCCGCGGCAGGATCGCTCCCCGCCGGGCCCTGCTCACCTCTGACGGAGACCAGCACGCCGAGGAGCACGGAGAAGAGAAGGAGTCTCCAGCGCCGCATGGCTGCCCGCCCCACAAACACACACACACAGACTCTGCCCGCGCCCTGACAGCCGCTCCCGACTCCCGCCGCAGCTGCTCCCGCCGGGCCCGCGAGCGGCACCGCCCCGGGGCTGCGGCACCGCCCGGAACACGCCCCGGGCCCGCTGCGCTGCCGGGCCGGGCGCGGCCGCCCCGCGGGCACCTCGTCCAACCGGGGCCGTGGGATAGTCCCGTTCGCCCCCGGGCTGAGCTCGGGAGCTGGGTTTCCCGTGTGGGTTGGGCCGAGCCCTCCTGGAACCGGCGGGATAGAGAAGCTGCTTCGGGGTGCTGCTCAGCGCTGACCACTGCCGTGCAGCCTGCCTGCGAACCAAGGGAGGCTCCGAAAGGGGGCTACGGTGCTAAACTCTGGCCACAGGTTTTAATAGCAGAGATGCACGCTTAGGCACCGCTGCCCTGTCTTCACCCAGGCACTCTCTTTCATTGTGTTTCCTCAGGAAAAATCACCCAACATTAAGCGCACCAGGGCACTTAATAATCGTGCTTATGGCAGGCTTGCTTTTTCTCTAGTCGGAGTAAAATAGCTTTGAGTTTTGTATTTACAAGCAATGCTGCCCTGACCCATGGCTGATAGGTGCAAATGTAAACCTGTGTGCGCTACAGCACTGTGGGAAGACGAACGTTAAAGATCCTGATTTCCTATAAATCCCTTTCCAGTGGCCATTTTGTGCCATGTATTGAATGGCTTGTGTTGAGGTCCAGTCTGTGCCCAAGTGTGGTAGTAGCAGCTTGGAGCGCTGCTGCTGCAGGTCGTGGTCAGAACTGTATTGACGCTTGTGCTGAGCTCTGCTTGGGGGCAGGTATGACAAATACGCAACTCCCAAATCCTGGTTTTTCACTTGCCAAACGTGCTGGTTATTGACTGGATAGTAAGAAGTTCAGTGACACGCAGCATGTGATTCGGAAGGTAACTGGTGCTGTGCAACTGACTCAGATTCAGTGGTCATAGACCTTCCTCAGAGAGATCTGTAGCTGTTCTTTAGCATTTGTAGAACCTTCCCAGCTGGAAAAGTGGAAAGTCATAGAGTTGGCAAATCACTGTCACCAGTTCATAAATTGATGGTATTATTTTTTTTCTTTTTTGACAGTGATTAGTCAAGTAATTTTTAGATTTACCCTTAGGTAATAAAGAGTTTAACTGTAATAATAAACACTTAAAATTATGCTGTGTTTTAAATTAAGGATAAGCTTTTCCATTAAAATGTCTGAGTTTTGCATGAGTAGTATTGAAGTCAACATTACATGGTTAATAGCTTCTTTTTTTCCCAGACTCCAAGCCTAGAAGGTAATATTGAATATGTGCACATGCATTGTATAATCCAGCAGCATGGATCCTGCCATTACATTTATGTACACATACACAGGAAATTATTAACGTTGCTCAAAGGATGTCCTTTAAGAGAATGTTTGTTTATAGCTGTTGTTAAGCATCACCTAAGAAGTTGCTTTCTTGCCAAAAAGAACAAGAGTTGGTACTCCTCGGTATACAGCACACTTCTCTAATCACATCATACCAAACCACTAACGCCACCCAAGAATTGCAGAACTAACAAAGAAAACTTATCTCACTGACATTACCATGTCAGATCAGGGCCCTGTAACTTCCTGTTGCCAAAATTAGTCTTCACCAAAGCTACCATCTTCAGATGAGGTAAAATAAACCTGCTGTTAGAACAGATGTGAGGTAACTGTGCTTTGTACTAGAGCTTTTGTTTTCCACTTGGTTCGATCCTTGAGGCAGGGGTACAGTTAGCTGGCCATGGCAACTCTAAGGCTAATAAATTGTCCAGATTTATAAATATCTGGGGGGGGGGTGTTCAGTCTTACTGATCTTTTGATCTGAAGATTTCACTGGCATTTTGTGAAAATGAGTTTCCTTATTTGTGATTACTATCTCTTCTATGGGTGGACTTTGATCAGGAAAAAAATCCAGGCTTTATTGTTTCACATGTAAGGCCAACTCACTTGTAAAAATCAAAATAATTTAGTAATAAGGCTGTTTATCTGATTGTATGAATAATACTCATAATCTGAGAACCACTTCTTCCAGTAGCACTTATCTTTGGCTTGCCCAGCCTGCAATGGTTGTTCTAACAGGTTTTTCACTGTCTCTGTCCTGCCCATAGCCTCTACCAGGAAGCCTCTGCAGATAGATTGGGCATTTGCCTGATCTGAAGATGTCTTGAAAGGAGAAAAGGTTACCTTAAGACTTATTTTTAAAGAACAGGAACTTTAAAAGATGTGCATGGTCTGTGGTTTGGCCTGAAGAAAAAACGTGACATACAGCATCACAGTGAAGGCTGGAAGTTGTAAACCCAGGTGAAATTGTTCAAACCTGAACAACCTCAGTGATATGCACAGCTGAAGAGCTGTCTGTGAGCTACAAAGGTAAATGTTCTTTCTTCTCAGTTTCCTCCAATTCCTTTTCTGAAATAAGGTCCTTGTAGCTCTTTTCCTGCTTCAGCAAAACTTTTTTCCCCTTTTACCAATGAGTTTCCAACCTTACCAGAAACATCATAGCTTTCCAGATATTCAAAGAAGCAAAGGAAAGACAAATAGATTTTTATTTGCTAAAAGCCAGGTCTTTATGGAGCAGTTAAAACGTTACCAACCTTACTGCCTAGGATGCTTTTTGGAATTAGAAGACCACAGCCACTGCCAGTGGATGGTGAAGCAGATGGGCAAAGACAGCACTAGGGGAAAAAAAAGAAAGGAAATGGGTAGTATTGGCAAGCTATTCTTTGATGTACACACATTCTGTTACTGTTACAAAATTGGTATGAGTACAATAACCCTGGAAATTATGTTGCCTTTTTTACTTTTATTTATTTGCAAGACTTTGGCAATACTCTGCAATGACTGTATTTCAGATGCAATGTTTGTGAGGCTAAGAACATGGTCACATCTAAGGAGTGTATTTGAATGTGTTAAGAATGTGGTTTCATCTAACAGCGTGTTTTGGAAGAGTATTTGCCATAATTGTATCCTATGGTTTTTACTCAATCAGAAATCCAACTGAAGGGCAGGGTTTCAGCACTGGTTTCTATCATGGCATTTACTGAAGCATGGACTCTCATTTTATGTTTCTTTTTGCTGTGAGGATATAAAAGTTTATGTTTGTATGTATTTTTAAATAAAAGTCAAACATGTGACAACTTATTTTCTCCCAATGTTTTCATCTTGAGCTGTGAGAAGGGGCTAGTTCCACTGGCAAAGTCTCCTGTAAATAAGCTTAAACTTTTAGCAACAATCTGAAGTTTTAGGGCCACAAACAAACTGGTATGGTATAGTCCGTCAATACAATCACGATTTTTTTTTTAAAGGATTGAATATAAAGAATATGTTAAAAATATAATTAACACCATTTGATCTTTGGTCAAAAATTATAATACTACATCAGGATTGTTTGATTTTTGTTTCGTTATGTTTTTGGTTGGGTTTTTTTGTTTTGTTTTTTGGTGGTTTTTGGTTTTTTTTAAGAAGCAACAGTAGTATTCCCAGTTCTAAGGGTATATTTACAATAAGCCAGAGTCCAAAGAGGTTCCAGAATCTCTGCTGGCTCCCCTGTTGGGTGCTATTTTCTGATGCTCTCTGCTTTGCAGGGCAGAGAAGACATGAAGACACTGCAGCCCAAGGGTTTCTTCCCAAGGAAACAAACTAGCTTCTTCTACAACCAGCCTGCTTGATAACAGTGGTTGTTTCAGAAAGGAGTTTTTTCAGGAGATCCTGAACAACTTCTGCAAAAGCCAATTCCCTAGTCCTTACCACCCGCAGCTTTTCATGAGGTAAATGTCCTCTCTGTTGGTACCACTTGTTCCCTCCAATAGCAGCAATTATTGCAGTATACCTACACCACTTATAGCACTAGCTTGGGTAGTACAGCACCAAAGTCTATGGCAACTTACAGCCTATCTCCTTTAAAGCTCATCCTATTTCTACTACTGTAGAGACTTCTCCTACTATAATTATCAGCTGAGTATTGTTTCCTTTTCAGATTCTCCCCACATAGCTTTGTACTTTGTTTTGTTGATTTTTATCTCTTGGTAACTATCCAAATACCTTTCTACATCCAAAGTCTCTTAGTTTTTTTTTTCATAGCAGTTCATAAAAAGAAATACAATTTTATAGATCATTTTTCTGCATACTGATCTACATTTGATGAGACGTTAGGTGAAAAATTGTTTATAAAGTACCTGTATTTTAAATTACATGGGTGCCATCCAAGCTTAGTTCCATAATAGAAAATGCAGCTTATTGATTAATGAAATAACTTATATCTCTTATAAGAATTTTTTAGCATTATTGGATTTTATTAGAAACAGAGGAATATTTTATTTCTTGCACAACCCCTTTCAAACAAATAAAGCCTGCAGCAACAACCCTTAACATTTTTATTTTCTTTAATTCCTGTTTCATTAGGCTATAGTATCAGTGAATTCAGATGAGGTTTTTTGCTGTCTAGAAAGCCATTTATAACAGTTTTTCTTCATAACATTATGAGCTAGAAATATCTAGTCTAGTATAAATGGTGAAAGGAGTCTGGTTGTAGCAGTATATGGTATAGACCTCTACACAGGCTTATTAATGATAGTGAAAAGCACTTTTTTTTTTTTAAGATAAAGCCTTGTAAGGTATGCTATGGTGTAAACTTTTACTAGAAAAGTAGAGTAGGTCTTCTGCAGATAGGAGCTCTTGATTCCTCTAGTAATATTTCATTTTTGTGCTAAGTGTGTAAACTTGTCTTTGTAATTTAGCTGCTGAGATTCAGGTTTCATGATTCACTACATACCTTTTGAAACCTGTTTCTCATAGCTCTGTATTTCACCATGGAACTTTGTTTTTAATATTTTAAGTCACCTTTATTTTAATGTAAATATTTGACTTAATGAAAAGAAAATCTAGAATACCTTTCCTCTGTTTTTGGCAAAGTGACCTTTTTAGTTATGAAATGTTTGTTCCTTTTGAAAAACCTGTGATGTCCAATTTTTTGTCTGTCTTTTTCCTCTAAGAAGAAAATAATTTTAAGATGATAACTTAATGATGGTTTTGTAT